GTTCTTCTGTCTTAATAAACTTTGTCTTTCTTTGATTTATTCTAAGTCTCGTTACGCCATCCATTTACTGAAGACCGTTAAGTAAGTTAATTTATTATTTTCCTCTGTCTCTCTTGCCCTTTATCTGTCCTGTCGGTATTACACTTTCCAAGCCCTTCTCCCTTATTATATGGCCTAGAAACCTCAACTTTCTCTTGATGATGTTACGTATTAGTTTCCATTTTGTTTCTATTTCCTCCATAACTTCGTCGTTACTCAGTCGTGATTGCTCTACCGATGCAAGATTGCTAACCATTACGCCACTTCGAAGTGGCCTTTTAATTACTGAGCGTAGCTTACTTGTGGCACAATCCCGAAACCATAGAGCACGCAGTCAGGATGGAAACTTACTACTCAGTCGTAGCTGATTTAACGAGGCAAGCTTGCTAACCATTACGCTACTCAAAGTGTGCTCTCAATATATATATATATATATATATATATATATATATATATATATATATATATATATATATATATATATATATATATATATATATATAGTCATACCTATTTTGGTAAATTTAATTAATAAGTTTATAGAAACTGGCAGAGATGGAGAGACTGGTAATCCTCTTTTTAAAATTATATTTTCCATGTTTTAGTGTTGATTATATAATGATCGCGGTTTTATTGTTGATTACATGATGAGTGTGGTTGTAATACAATTGGGAAACAACTCGAGGAAATTAATTTGATTTATATTTTAATATGTCTTTTCATTTCATTTTAAGAAGACATAATCTATGTCTAGCTTTCACATAGAATCATGAATATCTTTGTCCTTTCTTGTTTTTCTCATTGTGTTAATTCTCTTTGTAATTGTCAGTTTCCAGTTACTGTAAATAGCTGATATCTTTTTGCTTGCAACGGAAAGAGACGAAAACAAATCAAATAAAACGAAATTTAAAAAAGCGTGACTGACAAACAGGCCAAAATTGAGAGCGATGCATATTTTATGGGGTCAAAAAAGAAAAAGCAACTTTCTTTTTATATGTTAATTTAACTTTTTTGAAATTTAGGTAAAATAAAAATAAAGAAAAAGATCTATTGATTTTCTGGCAGGAGATTTTTGCCACCTGACCGGAAGAATTTATCATTTTTTAAACGTCTGATAATGAAACCAACGGTGAAGATCACGAAACTGAATCGCCATTAGAATGACTAAATATTGCATGTACATAAAACATGGCATCTTCTCTTAAAGAAGTTGTCTTAAGATGAGAAATAAAACTCGACCAGAGCTGAATAGCTTCATATTTAAAATATACATGGAAATAAGTAAATATTTGCCAAAATGTATATTTAATATAAGCCAGAGGATTCTTTTATATGAATCATTTTATATGAATCTGAGCCAATGTATTTATTTTTTGTTAGTTGTTTTTTTACTCATTTCACTCCAAGTAAGACGATGAAATCAGCTTCCGTTCAATATAAGTAAATCCATTCAGGATCAGTTTCTTCGAATGTGCTCTTGGTCATGTTTTCCCAAGTGGCCAGAACAATCTTAAGGGATTCAATGTTGGTTTGTACAATCCCCTTAAATCACTCCTTTAGATTATTCTACGAATTTTGCCTGCCGGGTAGCTTTCTAGAGAATATTTATTTCGAGGGCCTCTCATGGAGCATCCTGACAATATATATATATATATATATATATATATATATATATATATATATATATATATATATATATATATATAGTGTGTCGTATCCTAGGAAAAGTTACTAAATTAGTAATAACCAAAACGGAGGTTGTAAATGAAATGGTAATCTTTATGACATCAACAACTTACAATACACGCCATAGGCGTGAAGTAGGTAAACCACTGCTTGTGGTGGACTCCATCGACAGCATTATTACACCCACTTACAATAGTGCCCAACGTATTTATGAAGATTAAGTTGTACCCATTAGTGTTCACAGGTATGGTATATATATATATATATATATATATATATATATATATATATATATAGAGAGAGAGAGAGAGAGAGAGAGAGAGAGAAATCGAAAGAGCGATATGCAGAGAAGACATACAGACATACATATATTCATATAAGTGTGAATAAATTATTTGCTTTTAAAGTTTATTTCTTTTCGATATGGTTTTCATTATTTCCTTTTTCTATCGCAATATATATATATATATATATATATATATATATATATGATATACATTTAAGAAGAGCTCTTATATATTCATCTGAATAAGGTAAAAGTAAAAATAAATTATTGAAGATGCTAAGCAATGTAATTGAAACAAAAGCGAGTACATGATGCTGTTGTTGATTTTTTTTAAATTGTTTAATTAATATTTATGTTATTTTAGTTTAGGAATAATTTATATATTATTTATAGAAACCTCTTATCATTTCGTTATACGTGAGGGTTAAAAAGGATTTTTTTTTTTTTTAATGAAAAAGGTTTCTTTAATCCTAGCTTTAATTGAATGCTAAAAGTTGTCAAAATTTACTATTTTCCTTACGGAAAATAGTCTGTGTTGAATTTCAAATAAAATTATATTGATCGAAATCAATTTGTTTCATTAAAATCTATAAAAATCCTCAATTTCGACATATTTGTAAACGAATGAAAATTCTCGGTTTTAAACATCTTGCAAAAATATATTTCTAAATGTTATTTGAGGAAAATTAGTAAATTTTAAATCAAATTAATTTCATTTGAAACAAACATTTACTTATAGCATAAGATGTATACAAACATTTCTTAACTACGAGGTCTTGTTTTTCTGGCTTGTTAATTGATTTATGGACAGCGGATTGAGAGCCAAATATGGTCATAGTTAAATATGGTGGAGCAGATTAAAAGTTTATAAGAAGGGACAACACTTAAACAATGATCTTTTAATGATAGATTTATCGTTTTGTACATCCATACTTCAGAAATTCTGCACGTAATCACATATACAAGAACAAATCGAAATTCTTTTAAAAATATTCGTGGTCGTCAGATTGTAATAAGATTTTAAAATATATGATTAGTAAATATAGTTTTCTAATAATTATCACATTGAAAATGAATTTTCAAAGACTTATGAACTTCATAAATTATTCAATTTAAAACTGTAAAGAATTAAAACAAATCTTGTAAAAATTCATTTTTCGTTGGAATTTCTTTCTTCAGATAATATTACATTTAATATATTTTATTGGTTAAATCAATTAAAAATTCCAATTAAATAATATCTTACTTTTTTTTTCGATAGAGAACAGATTTTCGCTTGGACGGGGGTTCGTTTTTGCCAAAAAAAAGTGATTTAAATTCTTCAAAGTATTCTACTTTTAAGTAATAAATGACTAAAAATTATCACGTTGAATTTCTCAAGTTTTTATAAAATTAAGTAAGAGGCAGAAACACATGTAAAAATAAAATATTTTTACCAAGATTTTCAAATAAAAAATTAAATATGATTTCCTTCATTTATGAATTTTGATAATTTAATTACAATCCGACAATTATTTGATTCTTTTTAAGAATTTTCAAATTAATGTCTCTGTCATTTCAAAAAGCGGCCAAAATTTGCTATGCTAAAAGTTAGCGCAACTGCTGACGCAAAAGAAACAGGTTTTTAATCAACACTTTAAATATTCTAAAAAAGAGTAACAAAATTAATTAAATAATAAAATACTTTGATCTTTCCATTGAAAAATAACGTTTTCATTATCCTCCCAGGATTTTTCATCACGGTATGCTGATTTTCTAGAGTTTTCGTGGAGGTACCAAATTATATATTATCATAGATCTGTGGAATAATGTATTATTCCATCTACGACATTTTACGCGCGCGCGAGTTTCCTCCCTTTCTTTCACACTCGCGGGCGCGCGCGCGCGTTTGACACCCCTTTCTCCCTCGTTCGGTCTAATACAGTAGTAACTGTTTTTGGTCACCAACCAAGCGACCTGCTATGCAAATTAGATTTTTGAAATCTTGCCGCGAAAAATTTGTGACGTCAACGACAAACTGTTGTTTCAAAAAAACAGTAGTGATCCAGACTCGGACCTAAGCAGACTCATTTTTTTAGCCATGTCAATATGCAAGGTTGGCAGACGAGGGATATCTTACAATGCAAATACCAGATAATTAATTCCTCGTCCCTTTTGTGACTCGTCATTCAAAGTCCTTCTACGAGATGATGCATATACCAAATAATTAACTTTTCGGCCCTTTGTGACTCGTCATTCAAAGTCCTTCTACGAGACGATGCAAAACATCCAAAATATCAATTCATCGTCCACTTTGGGTCTCGTCATAAATCTGTTTTGAACCAGTACACAAAAAAAAAAAAAGAAAAAAAAAAGGGAAAAAAAAATATGTATATAACTTCTCACTCACATTACCTAAAACTCGCAGTGAGTATTTTTTCCTTGTATGAATATTATCATGTACATTGACTTAGCTGGAACCTTTCTTCTTCAAGAACCTTCCCGCCTTTAGCCATCTTGTTTTCTACTTTTGGCGCAGAACTTTTTCATTGATCCCGACTACGGGATAATTTACTTGTTTTTCCTGCATTTAATAAAAATTACTCTTGTTGGAATCCAGTCTTTTTTTTTCTGTCATTCTGTGTCTGCTATCTTAATATATTTTATTTTATGCACGTGTGGATTAACCACATTTCTTCGTTGTTCATTCACGCATATTTTTATTTTTTTTACTTTGCTTGTAGACTCGGTAGTTTAGTGTGGTGTCTGGCACAAGGCCACTTAGTAATAAACCAGCACTGCACCCTACCGGGCCTGCAACAAGTTTGGTGACCCCGACGTGAATTGAACACGCAATAATTTTGCAACCTTGCCAACATAATTCTGAGCAAGCTGAAATATAAATGTGCATAAATTCGATAGCCAGAATGACAACTAGTGACAAGTCCTTGGAAAAAACAGTGGAGGATTTGCAACGCCAAGTTAGGGATTTAACGTTAGCTATAGAAAGCTATGGTCGAAGCCGGCTCCCTTCCCGCCGGCGCTTCAGAAGTCGACCACGCTCGTCCAGTCGGAACAAGGATGCCACTTCTACTATGTGTTACTACCACCGACGATTTGGGTCTGCAGCACACTACTGCACCAAGCCGTGTTCCTATACTGCGGTCGTGGAAAACAAAACCGCCAGCGAGTGAAAGCGACTAATCTCGCTTGCAAGGCATTTTCACCAAAACTTAGTCGCCTTTTCTATGTGACGGATACACGTAATAATTTACGTTTTTTGGTTGACACCGGCGCTGCCATTAGTGTCTTACCCGTGCGTGATAAAGCACGTCAACAACCTTCCAGCTCCGCCTACAAGCAGCAAATGGTTCCAGTATTAATACTTACGGTACGAAGTCCCTTACCCTAAACATAGGAATGCGACGAGACTTTACCTGAATTTTACTGTTGCTGACGTCCAGATGCCGATATTGGGTGCCGATTTCCTGGCGCACTATGATCTAGCCGTTCGAATGAACAATCATTCCCTAACAGACAACTTAACAAGACTGTGTGTTCTTGGCACTTACTTTAAACTTACCACCACTGGCATCACCGTGGCAACTTGCCACAATAAAGAGTACTTAGACTTATTGAATCAGTACCAGGACCTCCTGCGTCCTGCTGGATCTATTGATTCAACTAAACATCAAACACAACACTTTATTAAGACCACTGGTCAACCTGTTTTTTCCCGTCCTCGTCGTCTAGCACCTAACAAATTAAAATTCGCCAAGAAAGCTTTCGACGACATGCTACGAGAGGGTGTTATTCGTCCGTCCGACAGTCCCTACGCTTCCCCTCTTCATTTGGTACCTAAACCAGGAAAGGAAGACTATAGAATTTGTGTGGATTATAGAAGATTGAATTCCATCACCGTCCGGGATCGTTATCCAATCCCCCACCTCCACGATTTCACTTCTGGTTTACAAGGCGCAAAGATTTTTACTAAAATAGATCTCGCAAAAGCATATTATCAGGTGCCAGTAGCTGCTGCTGATGTCCCCAAAACTGCTGTTACTACACCTTTCGGTTTATTTGAATTTTTGAAGATGCCTTTCGGCCTTTGCAACGCAGCACAGACCTTTCAGCGTCTTATGGACGAGGTTCTGCGTGGACTCCCTTTTGTTTTCGATTACATTGACGACATTCTGATAGCTAGCGAGGACGCTGCCTCGCATAAGCAACACCTACACGAAGTTCTTCAACGTTTGTCCCATTACGGATTTCGTCTAAACCTGGACAAATGTGTTTTCGGAGAAGACCATATAGAATTTTTAGGACATCATGTCGATGCAAATGGAATTGCCCCTTTAACTGAAAAGATTAAAGCTATCACTGAGTTTCCCGTCCCTGTTTCTATTAAACAGTTGAGACGCTTTATAGGGATGATCAACTTCTACAGGAGGTTTATTCCAAACTGTTCTAACATCCTGACTCCCCTTACCAACTTATTACAGAAGAAGAAGAATAAGACTATTATACTTGAGAACGAAGCCTTGGACGCCTTTCGAGCAGCTAAAACCGCTCTAGGCAATTTTTCTAAGCTTAGTTTCTTAGAGGACGACCCTCAGTCGGATATCTACCTGACCACTGACGCTAGCGAAACAGCAATAGGCGCGGTCATTGAACAAGTCAGTCCTTCTCAACGTAAACCCATAGCGTTCTTTTCCGCTAAACTTTCTCCTGCCCAATCACGTTACAGTACCTTTTCTCGTGAACTGTTGGCTATATTTCGTGCTGTTAAGCATTTCAGACACCTCCTCGAAGGTAGGTCCTTCGTTATCTTTACGGACCACAAACCTTTAACGTCCATTATGTCCACCAATTCGGACAAATACACTTCGAGGGAAATCAGATACCTTGACTATATATCTCAATTTACTACTGATATTAGGTACATTAAGGGTTCGGATAACACTGTTGCCGATACCCTATCTCGTACTGAGATGTTCGGCGTGCATACTGATGCACTCAGTCAAGACTTGATCGCCGACGAACAGAAAGCGGACATAACTCTGAAGCATGTGTTATCCGACACTTCTTTGGAACTTCAGAAATGTCCAGCTCCTTTTAGTAACAAGGTCCTATACTGTGATGTAAAATCCAAATCCCCGAGACCTTATGTTCCTCCGTCTCTTCGTAGACAGGTTTTTGACCACCTACACGGACTCTCACACCCTAGCAAAAGAGCCACAGTTAAGTTAATTTCGGACCGTTTCGTTTGGCCGAATATGAACGTTCATATTCATGAATGGGTCAATACATGTTTACAATATCAGAAGTGTAAGGTGCATAGACACACAAAATCTCCTGTGGACACTTTCAGCGAGCCTGATGCTCGTTTTACTAATATACACCTGGACTTAGTTGGGCCCCTACCAACCTGCCATGGTTATTCCTACCTTCTAACTATAGTGGATCGTTTTTCCCGATGGCCTACTGCCATCCCTGTCAAAGATACCACTGCTGTGACTGTCGCAAAAGCTATTTTACGCGATTGGATTTCGATTTTTGGGACTCCTAAAGTGGTTACTACAGATAGAGGAGCACAGTTCCAGTCGTGTCTTTTCAGGGAATTCACTGAACTCCTTGGTGCAAAGCATATACGTACTACAGCGTATCACCCCTGTGCTAATGGCCTGGTGGAGCGATTCCATCGCACCCTTTAAGGCTTCGCTATCAACGAAGCATGAGAATAATAATTGGGTCGATGAATTACCCTCATCCTTCTATCGTTAAGAAATATTCTTAAGGATGACTTGAAATGCTCCCCTGCAGAGCTTGTATTTGGTACTTCGTTATCTTTACCTGGCCAATATTTTTCACCAGCTGTGACCATACCACCAGTTTCTTCCTCTTTTATTCAGGACTTACGCCTTAAAATGGCAAACTTATGCTATACACCACCGCGGCACTGCCTGAGTGGTATATATTTACCGCACCAGCTCAAGGACTGCGAGTTTGTATTTGTACGTAACGACTCTGTTAAGCGGCCTCTTACGCCGGCCTACACAGGCCCATACCGCGTTCTTAAACGCGCGGACAAATATTTCCAAATACAAAAAGGTATTCACACCGACAACGTTTCAATAGATCGGTTGAAACCTGCCTTCATAGAGAAACCGTCGTCTCATACTACTTCCCAATCAACTCCGCAAGTTCAGGAGAATTTCAAGACACCTGTTTCTCTCGACAAGCCTAAGTATACCAGCTCTGGTCGAAAAGTCACCTTTCCAAAGAAATTAGAAACATTCTACTATTATTAGTCAAATGTCTGCGACATTTGATCCAGGAGGAGGGCTGTGTGAATAATGTATTATTCCATCTACGACATTTTACGCGCGCGCGAGTTTCCTCCCTTTCTTTCACACTCGCGGGCGCGCGCGTTTGACACCCCTTTCTCCCTCGTTCGGTCTAATAAAGTAGTAACTGTTTTTGGTCACCAACCAAACGACCTGCTATGCAAATTAGATTTTGAAATCTTGCCGCGAAAAATTTGTGACGTCAACGACAAACTGTTGTTTCAAAAAACAGTAGTGATCCAGACTCGGACCTAAGCAGACTCATTTTTTTTAGCCATGTCAATATGCAAGGTTGGCAGACGAGGGATATCTTACAATGCAAATACCAGATAATTAATTCCTCGTCCCTTTTTCATGACTCGTCATTCAAAGTCCTTCTACGAGATGATGCATATACCAAATAATTAACTTTTCGGCCCTTTGTGACTCGTCATTCAAAGTCCTTCTACGAGACGATGCAGAACATACAAAATATTAATCCGTCGTCCCCTTTTGGCTCATCATTCAAAGTCCTACTCCGAGACGATGCAAAACATCCAAAATATCAATTCATCGTCCACTTTGGGTCTCGTCATAAATCTGTTTTGAACCAGTACACAAAAAAAAAAGAAAAAAAAATAGGGAAAAAAAAATATGTATATAACTTCTCACTCACATTACCTAAAAACTCGCAGTGAGTATTTTTCCTTGTATGAATATTATCATGTACATTGACTTAGCTGGAACCTTTCTTCTTCAAGAACCTTCCCGCCTTTAGCCATCTTGTTTTCTACTTTTGGCGCGGAACTTTTTCATTGATCCCGACTACGGGATAATTTACTTGTTTTTCCTGCATTTAATAAAATTACTCTTGTTGGAATCCAGTCTTTTTTCTGTCATTCTGTGTCGGCTATCTTAATATATTTTATTTTATGCACGTGTGGATTAACCACATTTCTTCGTTGTTCATTCACGCATATTTTTATTTTTTTTACTTTGCTTGTAGACTCGGTAGTTTAGTGTGGTGTCTGGCACAAGGCCACTTAGTAATAAACCAGCACTGCACCCTACCGGGCCTGCAACAGATCCACCCCGAAAACGTTATTATAGTATGGATAGATAACGCCAGGCTAGGATCAATATATTCCGCACGATGATATTACTTTTTATTTCTCAATTAACGTTCCGTTTAAAGGATTTTTGTTTAGATCTTAGAGTTGCTTCCCTAGTTTTATCGTATCATCGGCAGAATAGATAAAGTAAAAAAAAAAAAAAGGTTTATTTAATTCAATTAGAATTTAATTTTCCCCGGGTCCCCTAAATGAAACATTCGACCGACTATAGACCAAGGACAAACGAAACAATAGATGTTAATAAATATAACATTTTAATAACACGAAAATGGGACAAATGACAATAACATTTAAACGGATAGCATGAAATGTTGCGTCTAACCAAAGTTGTGAAAAGATGACCGATAATGAATGCAGAGCTCAACATATGTAATGGGATAATATTTATAATCTGATATTACGTATGTAATGGCGTTTGCACGAACATAATGTTATTGTACTGTTGCAAGCTACAATAATATCGGGGATGGGATATAAGAATTTATCTGATATTTTGTGATTTCGATAACAGTCTCTTTCTATATTTCTTTCTTTCTGATGACTGGAGGTTAGATTTCGATCTGGATCATGTCTTCCGTCTTGGGCTTGAATTCAGGATTCCTCCTTGAGATGACGATATTTGAGTTGCGAAGGCCTACTGCATTAGACCCTTTTACATTCTCGGCACTGGAGCAATCTGGTTTGTTTCTCTGTCTCGGGGAACGTGCGGTCTCAGCTTATTGTTTGGAGTTTGCAGTTAGTGAGATTTTACTCTTCAACGGCTGACCTGCTACTAATTTTCTAGAGTCACCACGTGCGTCTCTTCCTTTTTGGCGACTAATTTCCTGCTTGCTGATTGGCTGCTCTCGACCAATCACGTTGTCGCTTTCGCGTGCTGCTGCTGCTAGATTTATTTTTAGTATTCGCCTTCACGTGTGTGATTTAGGTCATGGTGTGGGAAGCGAATGGGTGTT